ATCTGAAGGATCTAGAAAAAGATATAGAATTCTGAAGATTTGTTTGTTGTTTTTTTCAGGTGTGTTCACAAGTTCAGATTTAAAGACAGAAAGAGCACATGAGATTGTGCCAAATACAGGCAGAATGTAATGGAAAGGGGGGGGGGTGTTTCATCTGCTGCTCCAAGAGGAAAAATATTTGTCAAGTGAAGATTCTCCAAAGATAGCCAAAAGCCATGAATTCTGCAATAAGGTTGCACGTGGTGACCAAGAGTTAACCCAACCAGGTGCTTGTCTGTTCCACATATGCTGTACAGTGAAGCCCTTGGTTATCTCTGGGGTTTGGTTCCAGGACCCCTGTGGATACTAATATCTGTGGCTGTTCAAGTCCCATTATATATAATGAAGTAGTAAAATAGTGTCCCCTTATATAAAATGGCAAAAATTAAGGTCTGCTTTTGGGAATTTACATATTTTATGGAATATTTCTATGCTGTGGATGACAGAATCCATGCACCAAAAGATCTGTGGATGCAGAGGGCCAATTGTATCTTTGTTTCATTTTGCTTTAATGTGTCCACTCTGCATATTGCATCTGGTAGTTTTTTTCAATACCAGAACTGAACTTACAGCCATTTCTTGTTGCCTTCCTCTAGGCCAGGGGTCGGCAAACTTTGTTGCCAGGGGGCCGGGGGAATGCCGCAAGGGCCAGGCGCACATGCCACCCGCCACCCTGCGCATGTGCGCGCAGCAGCATTTTGGAAGGTGTCAGCGCACCTGCGCCTGGTGAATTCGCCCGGCACAGGCTCGCTGGCACCTTGCCAAGGCCCAGGGAAGGCCCCAGAGCGCCTGCACCGGGCGAATTCGCCTGGCACAAGCACGCTGACGCCTTGCCAGGGCCCAGGGAAAGCCCCAGAGTGCCTGCGCTGGGTGAATTCGCCCGGCGCACGCACGCTGACGCCTTGCCAGGGCGTAGGGAAGGCCCCAGAGCCCCTGCGCCGGGCGAATTCGCCTGCCACACACGCACTGGGGTCTTTCCAAGGCCCAGGGAAGGTCCCACGGCGGCTGCCCCGTGCGAATTCGCACGGCGCAGCCGCCATGGGGCCTTCCAAAATGGTGCCCGCGCTCGCATGCACGCGTGTGCAACTGTGGGCGCCATTTTGGTTGCCAAAATGGCGCCCGTGCTTACCCGCGGTACGTCGGTGCGCGCAGGACGACAGTGGCAGTGGGGCGGCCATGGGCTGATCCCAAGGCCTCCGCTGGCCGCACCCAGCCCGTGGGCCGTGGGTTGCCGACCCCTGCTCTACGCTGACAGTGTGATTTGCCCAAGGTAAATAGTAAGTTACCACAGTGTTTAGTTGTAATATGTTATATTACAAGTGTATAAGTGTATGTATGTAGATCACATCAGGTCCCCCAAACCAGTCACACTGTAGCCATATCTGAAATGGGAATGGAAGACGGAGGGAAGTGGGGGAACAGAGAACAGTCAAATAAATCACCTGTGCTGGCCACAATCGCTTCTTCCATTTGCAGAGGACATATTCTCCCTCAGCCATTGCCATTGTTCATGGAGCAAAAAAAGGTATTGAGGAGGAAGAGATGGGGTCAAAGTTTCTCAAGTACCCTGTGTGGCAACACAGACAGTTGGAAAACATCAACTTTAGTAAGATCAACATTCATTTTATGCAACCCTCTCACTGCAAAAACAGTTCAAAAACAGGTGGCTGGCATCCTGTTAGTGGCACATGCAGGTGTAAATCTACTGCATCATTTTTTGGTCAATACAAAGGTTAATATTCCCTTTATCTCCCTGCAACAACCAAATTCCCTCAGTGTAGAGCTACTAAAGCACCCCTCCTACGGCCATTTTGTGTCTAGTGAAGATTTGGGGTAGAATCATAGGGTTGGAAGAGACCACATGAGCCATCCAGTCCAACCACCTGCCATGCAGGAACTCACAAAGTATCCCCAACAGATGGCCATCCAGCCTCTGTTTAAATACCATCAAAGTAGACTCCAGCACACTCTGAGGGAGTGTGTTCAACTGTCGAACAGCTCTTACTGTCAGGAAGTTCCTCCTAATGTTGAAGTGGAATCTCTTTTCCTGTGTGGGGAATGGAGAAGCATCTGGCTACATCCCTGTAGCCAGATACAGAATGAATACACCATTTGCTGAGACCTCCAGAGGACTTCAGCAGATGATGCAATTATTTCCTGCCTGGTCTATCAGCATGGAATGACTATTGGGGAGCTTCAGTGGTGCTATGCAAATACAAGAGTGTGTGTGAATGCAGAATTGCTACCTTATGCTGGGCCATATACGTTTCCACCAACCATATATATGTGGGGCATATGAGTATGAAATAAGTGACGCTGAAGATGTAAGAGGTAACATCTCTCATCAGCCTTAGGCAGCACTGCCAAAGACAATGCTTGTTGGACATTAACAGTCCAACATAATTTGAAGAGCCGTATTTCCCATTCTGATCTAATAATAATAAATAAAAATAATAAAATTTATTTATACCCTGCCCCTGTTAAAACAATCTATGGGAATAGAAGAGTTCCTCATTTCCTCCTTGTAACAACCCTGTAAGGTAGGCTTGACTGAGAAGGAGACAGTTGCTACTGTTTTTTATATTTTGCCTTTTCCCCAAGTCTCAGACTCAAGGCAGCTTACAAAATCTAAAGCAAATTCAGCTTAAAAATTCACACTGTACAAGTTAAAACTTATCCTTTATAGCAAAGTGAAAGTTAGAAGCCAGAACCTTTGCTTATGAAATGCACAAAGCATGACTGTATTACAGGGCTGGACAACTGTGCATTGAAAACAATAAATTCACCTGTTATGAAACATAGGCTGGCAGAGAGCATATGCTTTTGATGGAAAATACATATGTCCCCAGAAAAGTATAAATGCCAGGTGCAATAGTATGGAGCATGGACACTGTTCTCACTTGAATTGTGTAGCCTGGATGAGCTAGGAAAACATGAGTTGATGCCCAGCTTACTAAAGTCCCTGTTCAGTTCACTTGTAAGCACTTGCAGTGTAATTATGTGAATTTTACAATTAACATCCCTGAATTTTTGATCAATAAATATGGGCCACAATTTGGAATTGGGATTGACGATGGAGGCCCCCACGGGGGAGGCCGTGATCCCTTAGGGTTGTTTTCTCTGAAACTTGTTCAGTACATAGAAGAGGGGCACTCTGTTCCACAAACCTTTTATTCTGAGTTTTGGCAGGACATTGGAAGACCTTTTGTACCAGAAGTAACCAGAAGCTTGTTTGTAAGTTTTGTAGAAATAGTTGTAGATGTCCTAAATGTAACCAATTATGTTTGTGGAGGTACTCAGATAAGAGACCAGTGGCCATGGGAAACTCCAGAGTGTGTTAGTGAGTAAGTGGTATGTCAACTGGATTGACCCTATTGCCCCCTCCATAGGGAGACTGATGTGTGAAACCATGACTCTGATAAATGTAACTGGGAATGTTCAATCCATTAGTTATTGGCCCAGTCACACTGTAATTCCTGTTAATTTATTGTGGAATGCTATCTTGCAATCTAATCTCAAAACGACAATCCCTACTGATTTGACCTGGAATGCTCGGAAAGGGCTATACATCTAATGGCAAAGGTCAGTCAGGATTGGGAAATGGAAAGATGAGGAATGGCCACCTGAGCGCATTGTTTAGTATTACAGCCTAGCCACATGGGCTCAGGATGGGATGTATGGTTACAGGACTCCCAATTTATATGCTTAATAGAATCATTAGATTATAGGCTGTGCTGGAAATAATAACCAATGAGACTGCCCAAGCCCTATCAGCCCTGTCCCAGACCCAAACTCAGATGAGAAATGCCATTTATCAAAACTGCCTGGCATTAGATTATTTATTGGCCGCTGAAGGAGGAGTGTGTGGAAAGTTTAACCTCATTAATTGCTGTTTACACATTGATGATAATGGCAAGGTGATAGAAGTACAAACATGGAAAGGATTTGAGTGTGTTGAAGGATTAGAATCATGGCTCAGTTGGGCAGAGGGCTTGAGGGGATCATTGTTATAATTCCTGTATGCTTGCTTTTGTGCTTAATTTTTACCTTGCATAGTGACAGTGGCTTTAAATGGGATAAAGAACATGATGGAACAGATAGCTGATA